TGACTGCAGCTCGTCTACCCTATCATCAGTAGAAATCACTAATATGTTCTTAAGTGTCGTTAACTCCGGATGCATTTCAGGGCAGGACTGACCGTTCATTAGCCTCCTTTCCTTGTGGATCAATCGGCATCTGCTGAGAAGCAGAAGAGCAGCTTGAAGGATGATTGATTTAAGTGGTATATCAGGCATGTCTTTGCCAGGCAATCAGAATGAAAGCTCCTGCGCTGTTTTCCCCGTGGGCCAAAAGCAATGTTTCAGCCAGTCAGGTACCCCAGCGCGTCGTTACTGTAGTAGCGATAATGATTAAAAATAGCCCGTGGCAACCTGGATATGCGGCAGTGCTGTCTCTCATCATCCGATGGTTTCCTTGTTCTTCTCAACATGTTCCGCCGAACAAAGCCTCCGTGTTGGCTCCCAGGTACTCTGTGCTGGAGCATTCATCCTGTAACAAGACGCAAACGGATCTTCCTAAGCATGGTGCAGAGGAGGCAACGGGGAATAATTTGGGTGCTCCATTACGGAAGGATGCACAACCAGGAACCTATTTGAGAATGAGATGACTCAACGTGGAAGAGAGCTGACTGAAGACCCTGCAGCCTGTCCCGTAGACCGCTGCTGGCTGGTCATTGCTTTCCATCCCCGTCTGTTCTCTTAGGGTTCCTTGCAATGCTTTTGGGGTGGACACCCTCTAAGCGATGAGCTGCGTGGGCTGCTTTGAGGCCTGGGCCACGCTGGGGACTTGTGGCTGTTAACAGCAATAATTGTGGCACCAGTCATGACTAGGATGCTCTGAGCTTTGTTGTAGCCTGGGAATGATTCTTGAGAAACAGCCGTGTTAGCAGCAGTTATAAAGTGAAGTTTATAAAGAAGCTGTTCTTAGGGCTGGAGTAAATAACGTGCTGATTTAAGTGTCTGAAGGTAGCTTGTGGGTGTCACCTTGGAGAAATGCGTAAAAAAAATGACTGTTGCCGCTCTGCATTTTGCTCTAGCGCTGGAAGTAGAAGCGGGGGGGGCTGACAGATGGCCTTTCTCGTCCGGCAGAGACCCGGTGCACCTCGTAGGTGATGCCATTAGCTTCCCAGGCAGCCGAAGGGCTTGGAGCGATGCTCTTGACTCTGATCGAGCGGTAGCTCTGCGGGAGGTGCGGCAAAAAGCATGTGCTGGGGGGGGCTGGATCCAGCCGGAGGTGACTTCTCTGCATTTCCAGGGATCGTGTCGCCTGGTGAAGTGGTAACAGCAGAGCTTTGTGTGCTGTTTGAAAAACAAGAATGTGCCGGCAGTTGGGTATGACAGTAGCAGGAGCAAAAGAATTACTTCTCGCGGATCGATACGGAAGTGCAATAACAGCCTTTTGAGTGAAGAGCTCTGCTTTCATTGCTTGTATTTTCAGTATTTTCAGCAGCAGGACTTCTCTCTGTTCGACCACGTTCATGGAAGAGATGGGAGCAAGGCACAGTTTTCTGACAAACTGGGTAAATGAAATTAAATCTGCTTTTCCTGCTACCCGAATGTTCCAGATTTGGCTGTCATGCACTCCTAAAAAGATTGAAAATCCAAATTCAGCAAAGCAGGAGTGAGAGGTTAAAGGAAGAATATGTCTCAGTGAAGACAAAATGCAGCAGGGTGCTGGTTTTTTCTGTTCAGTCTAATCAATCTGGCTACCAGCTTCCTAATATGTAGAACAGTAATCAATGAAGGAAAGAACCAGCCGTTGAATACTAGGAAAGCATTCTTCATAAACCTGCAAATTTGTTTTGAAATCTTATTCAAGGGTTTGCTCATCCATTCATTGGGCTGTGCTTTCAGGCTAAAGAAAATTTGTCTTTCCATTTAAGAACACTTTGTACTGCTCTGAAAACTACTCCCTCGTGCACCAGGGTGATCATGTAGTATTAGAAGAATTCGGGAAGATATTTCAGCTCTTCTGTAAATTCCCTCTTTTCATTTTTTTTTCCTGCACGACAGGCCCCACAGAGGATGATCCGATGCTAGATTTTTCTTCGCGATAGTGGTAAAATTACCATGATGTGCTAAGGTGTGTCCGTAGTCATGCAGACGGATGCTGCACTAAAGCACAGCGGTGTTTCTGCATCGTTCAGGAGTGCACAACCCAAAGCATCTGCTCTACTGCTGTATAAAAAGGTCTAGCTTTTAATTTCATGTTCAGGCATTGCTTCGGGTTGCAGAGAGCGTGTTGTGTCCTGCCATCAGTAGGAAATGTAGCGAAAGCGGGGAGGAATGAGGGGATTGACAGCCTGTAATAAGATTGCGTTGTGTAAATAATGATAGGGCAAGTATGTTCAAATTCAGTAAATGTGCTTTCGCGGCAACGAAGCATCCCAAACTACACACCATGGACATTACCCTGTCAAGCGAAATACCTAGTGCTACATCACTGTTACAATACAGAGAGATTTTTTTTTAAACTTAGATATTAAACAACCAAGGGTCTTAAATGAAATGTCGCATCTAATTTAGCACCCAAGATGTGAAGAATGCAGCTGCCCTTGGCCAACCCTGACAGCTCCGCTCTCCGTGTCAGTTCATCTGCCTGGCAGACGGATCTGCCGCTTCCTCCCGACTCGCTGGCATCTGTGCACGCTCCGCTGGACCGCGGGTTTGGACATTCAACCCGATGCCAAATACCTTCTCCTTGTGGTAGGAGGAGCTCCAGCAAAGCCTCCAGCCTTCAAAAGAGTCCTCGGTGCTCGCAGGCAGGAGTGTGAGGGTTTAAGGAGTCCATCCAGCACGTATCCATCTCTCTCCAGGAGAGCAGCATTAGAGGACGCTTAGCTAAAGCGTGTAGAAACAGGCAGTGCGCATGCTTTCTCTCCCCCGTGGGCTCCGGAGTTAGCGTTTTTCTGTGCTGCAGGCTTTATTCTCATCTTTGTTTAATAGCTTCTGATGGTTTTAGCTTCCAAGAACTTGTCCAGTTGCTCTCTGGATTTATAGCTGCCAGCCTCTACAGCCTCCTATGGCAGTGTCTTCCAAAGGAAGGAATATTCCCTGGAAAAGTACTATACTTTTGTGTAATTTCTGACTAAATGTTATTTCAGGCCCTCGGGTTCCCATTTTATGACAAATCGTGACAAAATTTTTCCTTATTCGCATTTCCCAGGCCACTGTTTCCTTTCACAAACCTCTCCCGTCTCTCTCCCTTACGATTTCTAAGTTGAAGAATCCTATTTGGGCTCCATATAGAAGCTGCTCCGTACTTTTAATCATTCTTTCTGTCCTTTATTTATTTTCAAATGCCTCAGCTTGTTTTTTGAGATCAGAACCGTACCTAATATTTCAAGACCCACATGGCCCTGGGTTTAGACAGTGAGGTGATAGTTTTCATGGTGTTTATTTTGTAGTAGTTTGTCATCTTGATTCTTGTAGGGCGTTGGGTCGTGTTTCCATGAACCTGAGTTGTACGTGCTCGAAGCGCTGTGCACGTCTCCTGGTTTTGGGTCCTGGTTCCTCTGCTCACCAACATACACCGAGGATTCAGTGGAGGGGAAAGGCAATGCTTATAAAGCATAGTTGCCTACGTAACTCTTCTGACCTTTGGTTATTTTTGTATGCTAAGTTGTCCATCGTAGAAAGCAGATTGTCCAGTCATTGGAAATATTGCTGCTTTTCTCACAATGTAACTCATCTCTGGCTGCAAATCCCTACCACACTCTGCTTAAAAGCAGAGAAATTGAGGGTTATACAGGCATGAAGGCTGGGAATTCTCCATGTCTGGAGATGAATGAATGACTGTAGAGATCTTCTATTTTAAGGGTGAATGTTGCTTCATTCCCTAGCCCACCCCACCCCAAAGAGGGGATTCTCTCCTCCCAGAACGAACGTGATCCTGACGTGTTGTCTGGCATTGGATTTAAGGAGTCCATCCAGCACGTATCCATCTCTCTCCCTGTGGTGTTGCATGGTAGCAAGTTGACTAGACTTTAAGCACCATGCTATAGAAATGCCATTTCTAGGGAGTCCGAGTGGCTGTGACCTTCCCCAATGCATGTCTGATGTTCACTGTTTGCATCTCACCTGGGAAACGCTCACCTGCAACAGGAAGAGTGGGCTTGGTACTGAAGTCTGATCTCAGATGACTCCTGGGAGTTACTTGGTTGGGAAGAATGAAGGTTTGAAAGCTCTGGAAATGAAGGAGCCTTTGGTGGGAGTCTGTTCTGGAGGGTGGGGTGCTGGCAGGTACTCCAGCAAGACTCCAGTCGTTAATCAGTTCATGTGCACAGCCAGGGGCTCTCTCCTCCTCAGCTCGGTCTGAGGTGGAAAGCGAAGATGTCCTGGCTCTGGCCGTTGAATAGCTTGGGAATACTCAGTGTGGACTTGCACACTCAGGCACAGGCAGCAGGCTCCAGGCTGAAGAAATGGGCTTGCAGGACCACAGTGGGCAGGTTGGTGTGGGCCATGCCCTACCAGTCTTGTTTTGATGTATCTTCATGAACCCACAGCAAGTGAGGGCACTGCTACTACAACACAGTGAGGTTCTCGTCTGCGTCCCGTCCTGCCGTGGGCTGTCGCTTCGCTTCTTCCTCTGAACCTCCCTTTTCTGCCTGCATGCCCCCAGGCATCTTTGGGGGATCAGCCAAGGGATCAGGAGACACACACACTGGTGGTGTTGCCTGCAAGAGACCCTGGGCAAGCTGTGACTGAGGTGGGACTTCTCAGTCACCTGCATGACTTTGATGCAGAATTCCCCATGACCTGGGTGGGATGGCAACCCAAAGGCCACCTGTGCACATCTGAAAAATCTCACTGTAAAGACTGTCACCTTGGGGATAAATCTCTACAAACTCACCCGGAAACAAGGTGCTTAAGGTGGTGTCCAGGACCTCCTCATGCTGTACGCATGCAGCTATCAGGGTGTGATAAATGTGGAATTATTAACACAACCAAAATCTGTAACGCTTTCTTCTGGTACCTGTGGTTTCCTCTGTTCCTTGTACTTCCATCAGCAAGTGAGACGAGCAAAGACTACCTTTGCTTTCTTCCAGGTGAAGATATTCACACAGGCCTCTATGGAGCAGCTGTAGATGTCAACATCAGGCTAGACAAGAACTCCGTGACAGTTGAGAAGACTTACCTCACGTTCTCAAACCACAGATCCGTGGTCATCCACAATCGGAGTGAAATCATAGCCCACTTCCAGTGGAAGGCTTTTGTTACTCAGGAAGAGGAGGATCAGTGGAAGCTGAGGTTTGTTGGAAAGATTCCTTTCGGTAAGGTACACTGCCCAAGGGTAAAGCTGACGTATGGCCTCGAGGGGTATTGGTGCTTCTGGATGGTTTAGGACAAGTAAACCATCTATGGCATCAGGGTATGTGTCCCTGGGCTTCAGGGTCATGGAGCTCAACACTTCCCATCCCAGTTCCATCCAGACTCCAACTGAGGATGACGTTTTGGGGAGCAAAGGTTGATTGCAATGATTGGATTTCCTCAGAGAGCGAACTTATGTTTGTGGGAGCCACAAACAGCTGAGGTCCAGAGATCCCTGGGCTACAGAGGGTCCGTGAAGCTGAGGAAAGTGTCGGCACTCGTTACCTGGGACTGCACTGAGTAGTAGCACTTAACATAGCTGCAGGTGGCATAACTACGGTGATACTCGCTGTGGTTTCTTCCACTCTGGCTTTGATAAGGTGGCAGGCTCCTTTTCCAGTAATGTGCAGGGTGAAGTGCTTCACTGGTCCAGGAGGTTGAGGCCATCTCCTGCTGCCGGATGTTGAATTGCTTTGTGCTGTCCTGGTTTCCAGCCCGAGGTGTTTCTGGAGGGTTCTGCAGGGAAGGAAGGTAGGGCAGTGCGGGACCTGGAAGTGCATTTGGGCTTCAGCAACCCGTGTCTTCGTGGTGGTGAGAGATGGGCAGGACCTTCAAAGGGTGTCTTTGGTGAAGCTTTGAAATCTCCATTTCAGGCAGCAGAGAAACGCAGCCTGGGGGCAGGGGGAGATTAGAAATTGCACTTAAAAGCTTGGGTGACTTACAGAATCCTTGAATGACTTTTCAGACTCGGTGGATGTAGATATATAGGAGTTAGTCTGAACCCACAGCTGATCAGGAAACTGCCTTAAACTGGAGCACTTTTTAAGGGCTTCTGAGCAAATAAAGTTCAACATAATTAGGTCAGAAATGCCTTGAAGGCCCAAACTAGTTTTCCACTGTTCTCTATTTTTAATTACACAGTGTGTGACTTCTGTGCAAGCTCAGTGTGTTAGAAGAAAATCTCATGACCTTCTCTTGGTACTTCCCTGGACCATTCCTTTACCATCTCTGCCCACCTGCCTGTCTCAGACTGGACCCTAGGTGATCCTCTTTCCCCTCAGAAGCAACCAGGTTTCACCACAGTAGACTTCAACCTGATTCTTTTTTTTTTTTCCAATTACATTTGGTCTCATGGCAGCTTGTGTCCTAGACACTGACCAGGACTTTTTGTTCATCCTTACTTGTGATCTTAGGGATGGTCATAGCTCAAAGGCCACGGGTCTGCTGTCAGAGAAGCTTTCGAGGTCTTGGAGCAGAGAGGACATTTTCATGGGAGAAGGCAGTGCAGGACCCTGCGCTGGGATGTGACCCAAAAAGACCTGGATGGTTAGAAGCTCTATCCAGGGGTTTGCTGTCTTTCTCCTGCAGGACTTTCTGGGATGTTAACAGTGGGATTATTGTCCGTTGGTGGAGGTTGAATTGAGGGTTGCTCATCTCAGGCGCTGGAAGCCCCCCTAACATGCAGCATTGTAGGTCAGCCGTGGAGAAACGTTTCCTATTGCGCTCTGCGGGGAGCTAGCCAAAGCAAGTATTTTGGGCGCTGGTGACAGCACTTGCCCGAGGCTCTGTCTGTGTGCAGCTAGTAACGTCCACGACTGTATTTCCTTCCTAATTGTGTTTGAATTTAGCTGGCGGATGATCGTGATGTAGTTTATACTACATCGCCTCGATTCGTTGCATATGGAGCCTTCCGTTCTTCCCCCCAGAGTTGTCACCCGCTGGTTCTTCCTGGCCGGGGGACTGGAGCGGGAAGGGGGGACAGCCACGTGCCAGCTCGGAAGCAACTGCTCTGTAGCAGCGCTCCCTTCTCATCTCCTGGTTGTGATCTTTAAACACTAGAATGATTTCTGCAACAGCTACCAAGTAAGGGAGAGATTAACTGTGTCAAAGCTCTGCAGGGAAGGCCAAAAAGGAAAAAGATGAGGTGGTTCAAGGCTAGACTTAAGGGTTTGGATTCAGAGGTGCTGGTCCTGACTTCTTTACTGGGTGATGCTGGGCAAAGTCTCTTCCTCTCCCAGAGCCTCTATTTTTATGCATATAAACCTATTCGTTTCCCAGACGGGAGGTGATGCCTGAATTCCTCAGTGTGCTGGGGTGGAAGGCAGCGTAGGGAACAGGGGGCAGAAGCTCTTTGCTTAAACCCGCAGGTCCCAAAGGGAAGAAGAGAGCGATGCAGGTAACCTGCACCCGAAACCCGGCAGCCGCTTCCCTTCCCGGTGAAGCGCTGCGGTGGGCGCTCCTTGCTCTTTATCTGCCTCCCACGAGCAGCCTCATGGTAGGAAAAGCCAGTTGAGGTTGCTGGTGGATTCTCCGTCAGTTGTGGCAGTGGCTCTGAGCCAGGTCACTCTCTTGAAGGCTGCTGGCTTTCAAAAAAAAAAAACCCTCCTCTTAGCTTAAAAGCCTGGCATAACACTAACTGCCATGCCAGCAAACA